AGACAAACCCAATTTTATTTTATTTTATTTTTTTTAAAGATTTTATTTATTTATTTGACAGATCACAAGTAGACAAAGAGGCAGGCAGAGAGAGAGGGAAGCAGGCTCCCCATGGAGTGGAGAGCCCGACGCAGGGCTCGATCCCAGGACCCTGGGATCATGACCTGAGCTGAAGGCAGAGGCATTAACCCACTGAGCCACCCAGGCGCCCCGACAAACCCAATTTTAAAATGGGCAAAGAATTTGAATAGATATTTTTCCAAAGAATACAGACAAATGACCAACAAGTACATGAAAAGATGGTCATTATCATCATATCAAACCCACAATGAGATACCAATTCAAACCCACTAGAATAGCTAAAATTTTAAAAGCCATAAAATAACAAGTGTTGGTAAAGATGTGGAGATATCAGATCCCTTACACTGCATAATGAAATGGTGCAGATGCTTTGGGAAACAGTTTGGCAGTTCTTCAAAATGTTAATCGTAAGAGTAGCCCTATGATCCAGCAATTCTATTCCTTGGTATACACCTAGAAGCAACATACAGCCACAGAAAAACTTGTACATGAATATTCATATCAGCATTATTCACAAAAGCCACAAAGTAGAAACAGCTCAAATAGTCACCAACTGATCAATGGATAAACAAAACATGGTGTAACCAGGCAACAGAAGATTATTTGGCAATAAAAATAAAATGAAGTCCTGATACATGCTATAATATGGATAAACCCTGTAAACAGTACTCTGAGTAAAGGAAGACAGTCACAAATGATCATCTATGTGATTCCATTCATATGAAATGTCCAGAATAGGCAAATACAGAGGCAGCAGCAGATCACTGGCTGCTAATGGGTGGGAGGCGAAAGAATGGTGACTGATAATGAGTAAAAGGTTTCTTTTTTGAGGTAATGAAAATGTTCTAGAGTTTACTGTGGAGATGGCTGCACAAATCTGCGAATATTCTAAAAACCACTGAATTGTACAGTCTAAGAGGATGAATTTTACATTATATGAATTACATTTCAATTAAACTGTCATAAGAAAAAAAGCAGGCTCGAGTCTTTGTCATGTTAAAAATCACTCTTAACCCTTTTTAACATCTGCTAACAACTCTTTCCATTATTCCCTTCACAGCTAAAATTTGTTTATTCTTGAACTAATCCATATTTACTTTCTTCACTCTCTGATCACCCATCAACTCCTCAATTCAAAGAAACGAGCTCCTTCCCCCCCATGGTAGCATTAGGTAGAATGTTACAAAACTGCTCTTACTTAGTTATCAGATTGAACAGACTCCTAATAATCTTTGTTTTACCAAGTTCTCAGAGCATTTGAAGTACAGCTTCCTTCTTCAGAAATTTTCATGTTTTTGTGGAGAGTTGGTTGTGAAGCATAGCTTCCTTTTGAAATGATTCTATTTTGGCTTTTATGACATTTTCTCACGATTTCTCTGCATCTCTAAAAACTTAGGAATTTCCCTTCCCAGGTCTTCTTCCTCAATTTCACTGTAAATGTTCTCCATTGTCTATTTCCGGAACTATTCTCCATGGGTAAACTCTTCCTACATGTTATTATATAAATCAAAGGTTTCAGCTACCACCTATAATACAGCCTGCTGACTCTCACAGCAAGACCGCTCTCTCTTCCACTCCAGATCCACACACCCAACTCTGTAGCTGCTTTCCACTTGGAAGTTTCATAGACAACTCCCATTCGATACATCCAAAAGCTAACACACTGTCCCTCCCCAAGCTTGCTCCTCTTCCTGTCTCAGTACAAAGTTGATGCTTGAACAACATAGGTTTGAGCTGTGTGGGGCTATTCAGATGTGGTCCTTTTTCGATACAGTACTGTACTGTAAACATGTTTTTTCTTCCTTATGATTTTAGTAACATTTTCTTTTCTCTAGCTTTATTCTAAGAATACATATAAAACACGTAACATGTAAAATATGTGTTAATTGACTTTATGTTATCTGTAGGGCTTCCAGTCAACAGTAGGCTATTAGTAGTCAAGTCTGGGGGGAGTCAAAAGTTATACATGGATTTTTAGACTGCAAGGGGGGGTCAGCACCCCTAACCCCCCCCCATTGTTAAAGGGCCAACTGTACTCTACCGCTGTCTTATTCAGTGACCCAAGTTAAAATCCAACCACACCTGAATTCTATGAATTCTACCTTCTGTCAAACTACCCCTTTGTATCTCCGACTCCACCTTAGTTTAGAGCTACCTTCTACCTTTCTGCACCCTGCCTGATCTTCTTCCTTCCACCCCTTCTGAAATCTGCACTCTACAATACCAGAACAATCTTTCTAAGAGGAAAACTTTATCATGACTCTTTCCTGATTAAAATTCATAAACTCTACTACTTCTATAGGGGAAAAATTCTAGAAACCTTGGAATGTCAAGCAACTCTCAAAGACCTATCTGTGCAGCCTCGTCTTGCGTTACTTACCACCAAAAACCCAGTGCTATAGTTGCAGAGAATGACTTCTGGCTCTTCGAAGTGTTCCATGCTCTTTCTAATCATGTCCAGCTTTCCTTCTGCCTTTGGTTCGTTTCCCTCATTTTCTTTCCTTTTTTTTTTTAAATTTTAAGATTTTATTTATGTATTTGACAGAGAGTGAGCAAGAGAGCACAAGCAGGAGGAATGCACTCTTGCGGAGGGGGGTGAGGGAAGGGGCAAAGGGAGAAGCAGGCTCCCTGTTCAGCAGGGAGGCCAATGGGAGACTCGATCCCAGAATCCTAGGATCATGACTAAGCTGAAGGCAGACGCTTAATTGCTTAACTAACTGGTTCCCTCATTTTCTGCCTTTGTCATGCCTAAACCTTTAAGTTTAACACACAAAGCATAAAAAATACCTAATGTCACACACAGCAGGGAGTTAAAATGGGCTCAGCGGGCTTAGGTTTCTGTTTTCTTTATCCTGTCTCAGTGACTTGTATTGGCTTACAAGATAAAAGTTGAAACTACTTTAACTGTGTTTAAAACTATTCATGAAAAAAAAAAAAAAAAGACTATTCATAATTTGGCCCCTGTCTACTAGCTACACCTCCAGATCGAAAAATTCGTTATGGAACCTCAGACTCCAGTGCTTCTGCTCACACCGTTGCTTCTATCTAAATGGCCATCCTTGCTGTAGTCTTCCCCTCCACATACTTTTTCCTTTCCACTGCTGACTTCCTCAATCTCTCCTTCTCTCCCCATAAGAAACTGATCACTATCTCCTTTGTACACCCTCTGCCCCCACACCTTCTCCAAAGTAATCTTAAAAACATATTGTACTTGCAAACAGTTCAAGTAAAAGATAAAGCCTTATCACCAGAAAGCAGGGGCACTGCCTTAACCATCTGTAAGTCCTCTTCAGCGGGTATAGTACCTGGTACACAGTAACGCCTCTATACTAAATGACCCACGTTCTTCCTTATTCCTTCCAAACATGCTAACTTAAGTTCCTATCAGGAATTTTCTTTCAAAAAAGAAAGAACATACTTTTGGGTTACATTCGAACCTAATGTCCCCTTTCCAAGCAAACAGCTGTGCAAATACAAGTGTACAAATTAAAGTTAATATTCATTCTCTGATAACACTTCTGGTTTTCTAAATTAGATCTACAATGAGAGATACTATTTGAAGAGAAAGCAAATTAAGTTATATCATACCGCTTCAAGATACTTTGTTCAAAGAATTACTTCCCAGTGGTTACTGTTAAACTAAGTCTACCCCCACTTAAATCTATAGGGTCCCTCTGAAAAGTGAGATCCACTCTAACTTCCTTCCTACATCTCCTACTGCCAGTACAGTTTACAGCAATTACTCATTTTCAGAAAGACACTCAGAAAGGAACTATCAAATCACCAAGACAACTAGGAAGGCGTCAAGTGAGGTTACTTTTCTTATTCACAGATCCTTTTTTTTTTTTTTTTCATTTAGAAGTGCTGCCTCCATAACCACCAAACCAAAAGTGAACTTGCTCCTTATCCCCGCTTAAATACTTGATGAATAACTGCCAGGTATGATGGAATGCTACCGAAAATGCTGCAGCATGTGAACATGCCCACTCCACTTTACAAAATAACCACTGAAAGCTTTTCTAATGAGGCTGGATGGTGTGTGAACTCCACGTCCAAACGACTGTATTTCTCCTACAACGCACATTCAAAGTATCTCGAGTTAACATTTTAATTATTTTCAAGAACTCTACTAGGCCTTAGAGGAAACAAGCTGCTTGGTCAAGAGGGAGGCTCTGAAGTAATGAATCCCAAAACTGGAAACACCGTAATTATTTCAGGTTAAGACTGGGGTGTGGAATATTTTGTAAAACCTGTTTCATTCTCCTAACGAGAAATTTTTAAAAAGGGGAGTTTACCTCAATAAGAGCATTTTATCACAAACACAGTTGAAAATGAGTTGTAAAAAGAATTCTCAACTCCAGATCTGTCCGTGCATTCGCACTGAAACCTGAACGGAAGACCGCAGCACCCAAAGGAGCCCCTACTGCTTGCGTGCCAGCGGTGGGAAACATCAAGAGCCTTTACCTAGTCCGCTGGGCAAGTCCTGGAGACGGGTCAATATTCCGGGTGCGGTTAAAAAAATAGTGATTATATAAAAGACAGTTCTCTCTCCCCCGTTCCGGTGCCCAAGAGCTGCCCTAAGGCCTGGAGACTCAAGTGGGGAGGGGCCCGGTTCCCGACTCTCCTCCGGACCCCGAGAGCACCAAATCACAAATGCGGATGCCACGAGGGAGGCCCGGCCGGCAAGTGGGAGGAACGGCCGGCAACAGGGCGAGAACTGGGGAGAAGCCTGCCCGGGATGAACCCGCACTCGGGGCAGCCACGCCCCCCACCCCCAACTCCAGCTCCGCGCGCGGCGATCGCCCAGCCCCGCACGCTGCCTGACAGACGCCGCCTGCGAGATGGGTGCGGAGAGAGCTTCCCGGGCACGCGAGGGGCACCGCCACGACCCCCGCACGCCACCGCTGCCCGCCACTGACCTGTGCCCGCCGCCGCGCGACAGCCCGCCCCCGCCTCAGCCGCCGCCTCCTCACGCTCACGGTGCCGCCACAGCCACCGTAGGCGCCTCCTGCGCTGCGCCCCTAGCCGGCCTCGGGCGCCCCATTCCCACCCCGCCCCAGCCTCCGCCTGTTTACAATGATTGGGACAGAAGCGACGAGCCGGCCCAACGCGCACGCGCATTCCCTCCTCCCGCCGCTGCCGGCTTCCTGGGTCCTCCTCTCTGCGCTGACGGCTTAAGCCGTCAAGGGCAAACGCCCTGTGCCCTCGCGCGCAGCATGCTGGGACGGGTAGTTCTCGGACCCCAGCGCCCCGCTTACGTGAGGACCCTTCGTCGAGGAAGGACACTACAACACCCAGGAAGGACCGCGATTCCTTCGGCCCAGAGGCTCGCTGAGGAGACTGAGGGAGCGCGCGAGAGAATGCACCGCGCTAGTGCTCAGCGGGCGCCTGCGCAGTTCCCGGTCTTGGGGGACTGGGTGGGAGGTTAATACCTACCCGGTATCAGAGTATCAGTGAAGACGGCTTGAGGGCGTCGCCTGCGCTGGTCTTGAGAGAGGAAAGAGTTTTCCACTCCACGTTCTGGCCGGCTGCTCCTCAGCTCCCGAAGTGCAGAGCGTTTGTGCTAGCAGGCTTCGGTCTTCCTAACCAGTTAAACTAGCCTAGGAGGCCGGCCTAGCCGGCCGCTGGGTGGGGCATCTTCCCGGCCTTGGACTGGGTGGGGAATCTTGCTTGGGGTGGGGACTCTTGCTGTGGGCTTTCCTTAAAGGAAGCTCTTTGAGCCTCTGAGAGGAAACTTGCATAAAACTCTGTGTCCGGACCCCGCTGAGAATTCCTAAAATGGGTATTGACAAGGGCCAGCCCTCGGTTCGAGCTGGCCTGCTGGGCTGCCTTTCACCGCCCTCTCTGGTTCAACAATTGCAAAGAACACCTGAATGAAAACAGCCTAGCCACACGTTTAGGTTGCAAAGAGAAATAACTGAATCGTGGAAAAGGCTGAAAATAATTAAATTTTCCCCCAGGAATCCTAAGCAAAACTTGAAGAATTATTCTGCTAATGCATGACTGGAAATTGGGTCTTTTGAAGCGTTCTTGTTTTATAAAAGTTGGCTGATTATTAGGGGGAAGATACGATTTGAGATAAATGCCCTTCCCAATCATTTCCATTACTACGTGCAATACTCTCTTTAGAACTTCATTGTATAATGTCGATTAACCTACTAATCGGTCCTGCCGCTATACCTCGCAGAGAAGATGACAGATCTGACCATAGGTCTCTCCCTTGTACACCCCGATTTCTACTCAGCCCCCTCAGCCTGACTTTGAAGAGCCTCCTGCAATTAGATACCAGCATGGTCTGTACAAGCCATTGTTTTCTGACTGTTTGAGGAGCTTTCTTTTTGCCCCTCTGGCAAAAGAAGTGTCCTCTAACCACTGAGATGGACATGTCACAATGCAAGTTAATAATACACTTTACTTCCAGCAACACTAGACGTGCCAAGGAATAGGCGCTGACCTGAGTAGGGCATTATTGAGCCATTGGCTCAATTACTGGACTCAATTATCGAATCCAATCGATGTATGGACACAGAAAAGAGAGCGGTAAAAAAGCTTTTTATTGAGGTAACTGCTGATGGCCATGTTCTTCACAACATGGCCTTTTCTGCAGTACCAATAAATGAGGCCAAAACCGGAGGGGAGGGCGGGGTGGGAAGGAAGAGAAAGCAAGAGCTGACAGCATGAAGACTCTGGTTTCAGTTTCACACACTAAGGTTTGTATAGCTCTTGTATAGTGCTTTGAGCACTTAAATTACCAATTATTAGCATGTTCAATATTAGCTTTAAAAAGGAAGGAAATTCTAATACATGTAAAACAAAAATCATAAGAACTGAAAGGACAAATTGATGATTCACTTGTGGTTGGAGGTTTCAGATTCCTGTCTCAGCAATGAACAAGAGAATGTCAAGATGGGTACAGAAGACCCATATTACAGTATCAACCAACTTGAAATATTTGACGTATGCAGAAAACTTCAACAATAGCAGAATACACATTCTTTTCAAACAAATGAAACATTGTCCAGAACAGATCATATGGTAAGCCACAAAACAAATCTCTATACATTTTAAAGGACTGAAAACATACAAGATATGTTCTCTTTCTATAATGGAATTCAATTGGCAAAAACAAAAATCTAGAAACCCCCAAATATCTGGAAATGAACATATTTCTAAATAACCTATGGGCCAAAGAAGAAATTACAAGGGAAATTAGAAAACATCTAGGGGCACTTGGGTGGCTCAGTCATTAAGGATCTGCCTTCCACTCAAGTCATGATCCCAGGGTCCTGGGATGGAGCCTTTTGTCAGGCTCCCTGCTCACTGGGAAACCTGCTTCTCCCTCTCTCCTATGTCAAATAAATAAAATCTTTTAAAAAAGGAAACATCTGGAGCTGAGTGGAAACAAAAATATAACATATCAAATTTAAGGGAAGCAGGAAAAACTGTACGTAGAGGGCAATTAATAGCAGTAAGTGCTTATATTAAAAGGAAGACAATAATTTAAGCTTCTATCTCAAGAAGGTAGCAAAAGAGGAATGAATCAAAACTAAATTAAGTAGAAATAAAGAAATAGGATAAAAATAGGGATGAATGAATCAAAAGCAAAAGGAAATAGAGAAAAGGACCCAAGAGTTGGCTCTTTGAAAAGATCAAACTGATAAACCTTTAGCTGGACTAAGAAAAAAAGGATATAAATTACCAAAATGAGAAATGAAGAGGGACAACACTCTAGACAAAAATGAAAAATATTGGAGGAACCTGGGTGGCTCAGTGGGTTAAAGCCTCTGCCTTCAGCTCAGGTCATGGTCCCGGTATCCTGGGATGGAGCCCCGCATCGGGCTCTCTGCTCAGGGGGAGCCTGCTTCCTCCTCTCTCTGGCCGCCTCTCTGCCTACTTGTGATCTCTGTCTGTCAAATAAATAAAATCTTTGAAAAAAAAATGAAAAGTATTATAAGGGAATATTATGAACATCATAATTCTGATAATTTTCAAAATAGCTGAAAATGGAGGCATTCCTGGAAATAACAAGTCACCAAAACTAACTAAAGCAAAAACTAAAAAATCTGAATAGCCATATCAGTAAATACAAATATTCCCACAAGGAAAAAAACCCAGGTCAAATGTCTTCACTGGTGGAAGTCTAGCAAATATTTTAAGGGGAAAAAAAAAATCTATTAATCCCCTTTTAGAAAATAGATGAAAAAGGAACACTCTTCAATTAATTTTATGAAGCCACTATCACCCTGGTAAAAAAAAAAACAAAAACATCACAAGAAAATAGAAAATCCTTCATGAACTGTACACTTTAAAAGGGTCAGTTTTGTGGTACATGAATTATATCTCAATAATGCTATTTTTTTTAAGATATAAGAATTGGATTAAATATTCTAAAAGCAACTCCATGCTTGAATGAACAGAGTAGAAAATCCAGTATCTGTTGTCTGTATCCTTGGGACTGGCACCTAAATGGTTCACTGGGTCATAGCACTATATATAATTGAAATTTCTTATTTGTATATCATAAAATATATGTTATATTTTTACATATCATATAAAGGATTACAATATTTTAACCTCATGACAAAAACAGGTGTCAGAACTATAGGACTTCACATTTGCTCTTTGCAACAATTCACCCTACAACTCAGTGGCTTAAAACTACTCTGCTGCTCTTGCAGTTATGGTCAGTTGGTGAATTAGGTGGGCAGTTGGGATGGCTGAGGTTCTCTCTGCAGTGATCTCTCATCTTCCAAAGGCTAGTTTGTATTCTCAGCACAAAAATATTTTTTCATTTATTCATGTCTCATTGGCCAAAGCAAGTCACATGCCAAGCTCCAGATTCAAGGGATGGATAAACAGAATCCACCTACACAGAGACACAGGAAAGAATTTGTGGCCATTTATTTGCAATCTATGACAAGAATTCTTGACTCGCTTGGCTCCTCCAAGACTGCTTTTATAACCTCCAAGATCTGTAAATTAGTGTGAATTAACACCTTTTGATTGAAACAGTCATGAATCAAATGTAAGTATAAACTGCATTCTAGTGTCTTCCCTCCATTCCTCTCTAATCTTAAAGATTTTCTAGGAGTAAATAAACTATCAAGCTGATTTGGATAAAAAAATTTACCTTCCAAGCCTCCATCTAACATAGCAGATTTTTTTCCATTTCCATTATATGCTGCAAAGCCAGTGCTTCATGTACTCATTTCTGGGAGGAGAAATGGTAAAACTGGTGTCATCATTTAAAGTATAACATTGGCTTTTTAAAGTTTTTTTTTTTAAGATTTTGTTTATTTATTTGTCAGAGAGAGAGGAGCGAGAGTGAGCACAGGCAGACAGAGTGGTAGGAGGAGGCAGAGGGAGAGGGAGAAGCAGGCTCCCTGCCAAGCAAGGAGCCCGATGTGGGACTCGATCCCAGGACGCTGGGATCATAACCTGAGCTGAAGGCAGCTGCTTAACCAACTGAGCCACCCAGGTGTCCCGGCTTTTTAAAGTTTTTAAAGTGATATCACTGAGGTTATTTAGAATAATAATAATTTGGATCATGTTTATGGCTTATAGTTTTGGTCTACATAAGTCTAAACATCTAAAAGAATTCCTCCGTTTCCTTGTGACCTGGGATGGAGAACTGCCCTTTCCCCCTTACCCCTTACCCCCCCATTCATTGCACTCCCTACCCCCTCCCCCATCCCCTGCTTCTGGGAGCTCTAAGTACTACATCTTGTGGTTTTACTTTCTTTGTATGTGTTAAAACTGCACCTTCAGGGGCACCTGGGTGGCTCAACAGGTCAACCACCGGACTCTTGCTTTTGACCCAGGTCATGATCTCAGGGTAGTGAGATTCAGCCCCATGAGATGGGCTCCATGCTCAGCAGGGAGTCTGCTGAAGAACCTCGCTCTCCTTCTCCCTTTGCCCCTCCCCCACCACTGGGAGCACCTGTGTACATGCTTTCTCTCTCTCTCTAAAAATTTTTAAAAAACAAACAACAACAATAAAACAATAAACTGTGCTTTCAGTCAAAAGGACCCTTTTCCTAAAGTGGGAACTCAAATGCTGAGGGAGTTACCTGCCAGCC